TATTGAAATTTCATTATGACAAAGAAGATCTTGAGAAAGACCACTTTTTGTCACGAAATTTTTCTGCTCTAAAAGAAATTTTAAAGCCTCGTAGGGAACAGCTTGAGCAAATTTTTTTAATTGTAAAATATCAACACTTCATAAATATCTTTTGAGAAATACAGTAGATACTACTCATAATTAGGCATCATATTCACAATGAAAATCTCAGAAAGGTTCTGTTGCAGTTCAGTAGAACACTTCGGCCAGTTGACTGGCAGAGTATTAGATATTTTGAGAAGTTTCCACAGTACTATTACCTATTCAACCTACGAGACGTTAAGAAACCAAGAGTTGGATGCCATTTCATGTATGGCAACACAGGATTCGCGCTCTACCAACTGGCAAATAAGTTTTCTTCATCATGTTGATTTCAATCCAAATATTCACTGAGATAGATGATCAAGAGGAACGAATTCAATACCGCTACCTTCTGAAGAGATTAATAACTTAAATTTTGCTGAATTCACCGAATTGGAATAAAGAAGACTAAAGGGAACTTTCGCTTATCCTTGTTTGACATCCTAATCACGAAAATATATCTACTTCGCAGTTGAGCCTTATTTTAGGACAGTAAAGAGATGGTGGTCAAACTCACCCTCACCTGTCTAAGTTGGTATTAAAGGTAAAAGCTAGGCTTCTTTGTTTTAACTTAAAGGCACTGTCCGAGCAGAATTAAGGACCTGAATTCCCACTAGAGTATGATGGCCGACTACCGAACTAATCCCGAATCTCAAGCCAATGATTCGCTGCGGTAAGCGAGAAAACCTCTTTGGACGTTTGTGCCACTCCGCCCACTTTTGGTCGGTCATTACTCCCAGTTAGCGATTTCTTCCTCAGCACCGTCAGAGTTTGGCTCTCTCAAAAGCAATACTCTTTAGAGAGAAAGGCATGCGATCGTTCCGAGACTAAATATCAAACTCTTCTTGTCAATCAAAAAGAGGGCCCAAATTCTCTGTTTTTTGACAATTTCACAG